AATTAAATTTTTAAATTTCATATAATTCACGTTGTTTCAATTTTTTTTCATTGGATACTTTGTTTTTTATTGCAATTTTAGTTTTGTATCAGTGTTTCATATTCAAATTTTTATTCCTTTACTGTTATATAGGTTCTAATTTGATGGTTTTAAACAATTTCTACTTGTACTCGAGTTGCCGTCTTTTTTGAATAAGATTTTTTTTGGGCTTATGTATCTTTTAGTTCTAGGTCAATATTTAAAATTGCTCACTTTAATTGATATTTAGGTGGTTATTGTGTTCAAAGTAAACTTATGAAAGCCAAAAAATTGTCACAAAAAGCAAGACAACAAAAATAACTGGCACTTTTTTGATTTTAGGAATTATTTAAAAACAAAAGCATTTAAATGTTTAAAATGAGGCGTCTAAAAAGCTTGTATGAAAACAAGTAGTAATCAACGTTTTTTTTGCGCTTGAAAGTATTTTTCAAAGTGTGAATTTTAAACAGTATATCTTTATATCAGTAACATTGAAGATTGTGGGCTAAAACCATTATCGTTATGTGACGAAAATTAAATCTTAGTTTGTTCTGAGTGTGTTTGTTCTAAAATTTCTTTTTGTGTTTCGTTCAAATTGTGTGGTTCGTAAGCAATATCAGAGAGTGGAACAGGTTGTGGTTTATTGTTTTGATGAAGTCGTGATTGTAATGAAAAAGTTTTTCTAGAAATTGTGAGTGGAATTATTTGTAATTGATTTTGATTTGAAAAACTGTGGAAGTGCTGTAGCTCTGTTATTGTGTTTTTTTGTGGTTTGTCAAATGTATTTGCAGTTGTGGATAAATTTTTATTCTATTCAATGATGTTTGCGTAAAATAAGATTGTATTTAATGAGGATGAAAAAAAAATCAAAAAAAAATCGCAGAGTATTTGGGCGACGCTTGCTTGTGAAATAACTTGTGTATGAATTGCACAGGTATTCTGATTCCTTAAAAAAGAGAATAAAACTCTCTTTTTTTAAGGAAGATGTCTCCTGACAGTTTACCGGAGACTAATAAACGAACTGTCTGGACTTGCTTTTCTCGTTCTCGGGATTGAGCTGTACTGCATTATGGCGTTATTTTTAACCATAGGGAATGGCTCCATCCTAAAATTATGTCCATCGTGAAAAGGTAATGACACAATGAATTTAATTTTTTATAAAAACTTGGTATGTACTGGTAGCATTGTTAATCTGCAAAGACAAAAAAGGTGATTTTTTTAGTATAAGTAATAACAAACTGATTTCAACTTTTGTTCTTATTTCTCTGAATCACTTAGTTTTCACATTTGCAAGTATGAATTAAGGTTTAGATATGATTTATGGCTGATTAGGTATGAACGTTTTACAGTGACTAATTTTAGTTGAGTGAAAAGGGGCGGTAACTGTACGTTTGATTTGAAAAAAAAAGAACGGAAATAGGTAAGAAAGTCAAATAGTGAGGCAATATGACCAAATTCTGCGGCGCAGTTTTCAACAGATGGAGAGTTCTAAGCTAAACTAGGATATAGTGTCTGATTCATGGTAATTGGTTACTAGATTCAAAAAATATATCTTGGGTTTGACATAGCGTGTTCTGAAAGTTTTTGAAAAAGAAAAAAATTTGTTTTGTTTTCCAAATTCATCATTTTTGGTTAAAGCTAAAATGATCAGAGGTTTTTTAAAGGACATTGGAACAATCTGAGCTGTGTTTTGATCGGACACGACTAATCTTGATTCACTTGCAATCATTCTGAAGAATTAAGAGGGAAAAAATTACAATTCCGACTAGTATGCTTTAAAATATGCGCAATTAAATAAAATTTTCTTTCATTGCGTAGCCACGGCATTGAAAGAGATCAAAACTTTTTTCGTTTAAGGCACAATTATTGTTGAAACAGTGTGGCAAAGATTTAATTGACTATTTGGAGTTGCGTTGTTAGATAATAGATTAAATTTTGTGGCCATTTAATTGAAATTGCCTTGATTTACACTTTTCGAATTGATATTCTATCAAATGCTCAGGAAAATACTAACTGAGACACTTATTATACCGCATTTGGTGTCCACTCTTTCATCCAAGATTATTTAACCCCTATGCTTAAACCATCATAACACGATAACCCCACAACAAGATAGCACACAACAACTTGACCTATAATACTGATTGACCTTCAACAACTTGACTTTGTTTCCATATTAAATACCGATAACTTGTTTCCAATTAAGTCCTTTTACAGCCACATTAGTAATCCAATTGATTATATTTAAGAAGGGGGAAAGCCAGTTTCATTTCACTTGGAGCATTCAGTTAACTAAAAATGATTGAATTTCGATTAGATACAATAATCCCTCATTCCGGCGTTTAAAACAGATATAACCTACATGGTGCTGACTGAAGGGAACAAGACACGTTTGTGGGTTTAAAAAATCATACTACCCTAATCTTTAGCCAATGCTATACCACTCTCTGAGCTACAAGTCTTGCAACGACCTTCCATTTCACCCTATTTTCCTCAGACAAATAAATAATAGTGGTATCAGGACGCGAGTTTAAACTTAAACACAAACATAAACATCTACAAATTGAAACTGCTCTAATGATCAACTTCAGAAGCGCTTCGTAACAGTAATCAAGGATGGAGAGTTTTTTTAAATGAAAGTTAAGCACAATCATTGCACTTTACGAAAAAAAAACTTGATGCTCGACTATCTTTAAAAAACATCAAGGAACTGAGCAATAACAATACCCCAACAGTCGCAGTTGCAACCGTAGTTCAGCCCATAAAAAAAACGTTGCAATTCAACTAGTCCTAGCATCTAAAGAAATCACTTCAAAAAATGTTTTTATTTCGACGATTTGAAATGCTGCGAGAGCTAGAAAAAAATCATTTTTTGGTTAGTTGAAATAACTTTTAAAATCAATCCCACAACCTTTTTTTTATCAACTTTACCTTTTAAACTTCAGCTTTTCGGAATAGTCTCTGCATGCATATATGCGTTTCTAACAAACAGAGCGAAAAAAAGTAGCACCGTTTTTTAAAAGCCCTGGAACTACTAGCCCCTGAAACAGACATGAAAAACTTTGCTGATTTTGAGCAGGCCGCTTTTCAAGTTATTCAGAAAAATTCCCCAGAATTTTAGCAGTCAGGATGCATGCTTCAGAAAACTATTTGAGGAAAGTTGCCGATCTCGGATTAATAAAATAATACGAAAAGAACCAGAAGTTTGTTTTAGCACCTGAAATGGTGCTTTCGCTGGCTTCTGAGAAAATCGTTCGATAAAACAATCCAAGAAAAGCAAATAAAAAGAAATCGCACCAAATTTTTTTTAAAAATTCTTGAATTTTTGACAAGCTATGTCTTTATTTTGGATCCAAATACATACGAACTTTCGTTCCGTACCGAGAGTTCGTAATCCCCTTTCACTATCGAATCAAAGAGATGCTGCATCAACCGGCTTTCTTAAAAAATCAAACCAGTGGATAACTGGAAATACGGCATTCAGTCACTTTTCAGTACATCGCAAACTATGGTATGAAAAATAATTACAAATTTGCAAACAGGCTCTTCCGTTAAAAAAAAACTAAACGAAAATGTGCAAAAAAACGCTGATTTATAAAGAATAAAAAGATTTCAATTTTTTTGGACCACGGCGATCTTAGACATAATACCCGTTGATTTGTTCTTTCGAAAAAAGTGAATATAACTTTTTGATTATCTTCTGATTATCTTTAGGAAGATGTCTCCTGACAGTTTACCGGAGACTAATAAACGAACTGTCTGGACTTGCTTTTCAGAAATACTGTCTCAAAAATTTCCATACCGGATTGATTGCTCGTTGGCGGAACACTAGTTTGAGACTATGTGCTGGCAAACCCTTCAGATTTTGCGTTGTTCGGCTACAATTCAAAAAGAGAATTGAAAATATTCAGATGGCTCCAAAAATTAATTAAACTTTAGCTTCCTTTTAACAGAAAACACAATTTGATACAGAGTCGAAGATGAGCTTCGCACCACTTTCGAGACAAAAATCATAAGAAAGCAAGATGACGCTCAAAGGTTAGCAGACAGAAGTCAACCATTAAGCCGAAAAACCATTAGCAGAAAATTAGTATCGATAGTCTATGAATGTACATGCAATGGTTTGAGTTCTAGATATAGCATCTACCAGTGGTAACTAGTACTCGAGTTTCAAAATTCCAAGCCTCTCTGAAACTACCCTGTAGTAACTAGTACCCACCCAGGAATAAATCTTAAATTTTCATGAAATTGAGCATTTCAGCAGCATAGCAGCATCATAAGTGATTCAACTGATTTTGTTTAACTGTGGTCACACGAAAAAAAATTATATTCCGATTAGATAAGGCTTGCTAATCGCAATCCTAAATATACAAAGAAATCAAAAGTCGAACCGCGAATCATCAAATTTGAACAAACAAATTTTTTCCTACAAAACAAAAATGACCAATACCCATATAAGAGTCTTCACTACGTTCATTTTTCTTGAAATTCTTTCTTTTTTTCAGGATAGTGTTCAGGATGAAAAAAGACCTCGCTGGCTTCACTCACTTGAAATGAGACTACCAGTCAAAGTTTCAAACAATTTTTTTACTGTTAAATATTTTTGAACTTTCAAATTGTTCGAATCACAATGAAAAGGGTTCGATGATATCTCAGTCGAATCATTCCTGGTTATTTTTAGTACCTGATTTTTCGTGGAATAAAAACATACCGACGACGGATTTGCTCCCTATTTTCAATGGTCAAAAGAAAAATACTTTTGAAACAAAAAAAAACAAGCTCCATTATCAGAGTGCTTCAAAAATTAACTAAAAAGCACACAACCCAAATGTTAGTTTCATTCATAGAACTAGAAGAGCTGGTCCAGTGTAAAACTATTTAAACGATTTAATGTTGATAAAAAATAAAAGCGCAGAGATGAATTTAAATTTCTCGTCAGCTCTTCAGAACAAAGTTGTTTTTGTTTTGACACTTCCAAGAAATGGAGTTCAAAATTGAATTAACAGTACACTAGCTAATTGAATCAAATACGATTTGCACTGGAAGAGAAAGAAAATCAGGTCAGCATTTAAACCAATAGCATAACAGTATGTAATTACGTGGAAAATGTGCAACATTTACTGTAAAATTGAGTTCAAAAGAGTCATTCAAATTCTAACATTCTACGTCTTCAAACAAACACTCCGATACGAAAGGACATTATTCCCACTTCACAACTTCCTCCTTTCAGCATCAGATCATTCAGCTCAGATCAGGTTAGGGGCAAGGTCTTCACATTCCGCGCCCAAGTCTTGGTGGACAGCGGTTGTGGTCGGGTCGGATTCAATTCAAGGTATACATATAGAAATAGAACAGAGGGATTCCACATCCAGCAGCAGCCAACAGAGATTAGAAATACATCATCCGATAGACGCAAACACACACATTCAAAGCCAGTTTTGGAGGAGTGGGTCGTATTGAAATAGATTAGGAGTCCCCGAGAGTATGGCCAGACTTTTCTGCTATTTCTTCGATGATGAACAGGAGTTTCTTCAGGGACGGCTGAAACAAACATCAAACAAAATGTGAATCTCTCGCATACCCAATAATGAAATATATCTGTGAGTGACGGTGAACAAATATACCATTGAGGAGGCGATTAATAGACAAGAATGTGATATCCTATGCGGTATCGCGTGAAAACTAATGGTAATTCAATAATGTATTCTGATGCATTGAATTAAGTTTTCTCTTTCTTTCTTTTGATTAGCTACTGAGAGATAAATCAGAATCGAAAAACTCTGAACTCTCAACCGAGTTTCAATGTCACATCACACAGTGACCTTGTGCACACCATAAAGTTAATAACTATACCACCGCAGGTTGGTAGAACATCAATCAATTACTGCTATTGCAGTAGCAGTATGACACACCCCCTCGGCAAGAAATAAATTATTCAATATATATGGAATAATTTATGTTAAAAAGAGTTTAATACACTCAGTTCACAAAGAGTTTGGCTTTTTGTAAGATTAGTCCTTGGATCTTCCTATCCTAGTTTTCTTCCAGCTCTAGTTCCCAGCTCGGATTCCAGTCCACTCCTTTATCCAACGTTGCATAGCCGAAATTTCGCCTGAACAAGTGTCGCTCTAACATTCTCAATTTTGACTCTACGAGCCTGTCATTTCGTTTTTTGAAGTCCGTAAGCCTTCTCCGGTATTCTTGAAGTGCCGTCTTGAGTAGTGCCCCCTGACAAATCCTCTGAAACTTCTTTAATAGAGTGTTTTATTGGATCGCCAAAACGTTTCGGCTCTTTGTTTTTTGTCTGTCTGGAGCTTCGTCTGACCCCCGACTCCTCCGCACTTGACTCGTCTAAAACTCCTTGAGGAGGCTCAAATCCTGTATCTCTTTCCGATACTGGTTGGAGATTTCCTCTGAGATCGTCCGCGACTCTTTGGACCCCCTTTTCAACAGTTGGTCTGCGAAATTCTCCCATTCAGCTGGTGCCAAATTCCGATTTTGAAATGTATCAAATATATCCTCCGGACATGTTTGAGAATTCAATTTGGTCTTCTGTTTAGTTTTTGGAGTAGAGCTCACAAGAGTGTCGTGTTTCAATGTCCCCGAATTTGATGTTGATTGTTCCTGACTCTAATCAACTGCTACTGCAGTTTGGCCTGTAAGGTTGTTTTGTTTTTTTTGCGTTCTTTTTCCTTTGTTTTCTTATCAGTCTTCTTCCTGGCACTCTCGTCCGGCGATTTTGGACCTGCCGACAAACTGGGACCAGCCATGTTCGGTTTCGCTCTCTTTATCGCTAAGTTTAGACCCCCTCCTGCGTCCGTATCCTTTGAAGTTACGACTGTTTGACTCTGCTGAAATCGATCTACCGGGTTCACAGAATCGGCCATTTCCATAGCCCGTTTATAACTCTTCGTCTGAACCGATGTCCTCGAGCACTTCAGGGGAACTGAGCCTTTGAAATTTCTTAGTAGGTTCCGCCGATGGGCTTTTACTTTCACTCTGCTGTTTCTCGTGTGTCAGAGACGTCCTCGTTTGAGCAATTTCCGATAAAAAGAGCCAGTTGTTGTCTTAATCGTTGAACCTGTTTCGGTTGCTATTTTACCCTTCAATTGCTTCGTCAGGGCCTGTCCACTTTTCCGTAATGGATCCTTTTTTAAGATTGTTTTCGGCGATTTGCTTTGCTCCAATTCTTTGTCTTCGATGAACCCCTTTTCCCAGGAGTATATCATCTCCTTCCACAGCTCAGGATTTAGTAGTCCGGTCTCGTCAACGATCCGCCTCACCTCATTTTTCGCGGCATCTCTTCTCTCTTGTTTCCAGCGGGCATTCGCCTCCAGCAGTTCCTTGAGGTCTTTGGCTCTTTGTCGATCCCTGTCCGAATTCACTTGCTGCTTATGCAGCGGACTGGTGTCCCTGCTGAGTTGTCCTTTGCGTTTTATCTTGAGATTCTCTCTTGATTGGTCGATTCGTCGTTTCAATTGTGATGCTGTCAATGCTGATCGTTCCAAGTGTTGTTTGTCTGAATAGTCAGAATTGTTTAGAAACTTATCCCTTAAAATTTAAAATTCCTTTTTTGGTAGTCTGCCAAAGTGTGCTAGGAATGGAAATACTTGTATAGTTTTCTGCTTGTTCCACCGTAAATCTCGCATTATGGTACTAAGGCATAATTTGATCGATTTATTGTTTTCTTCTAGCAACATTACCCCCAATCTTCATGGTTTGTATTGTTCGTTCTACCAAACCGCAGCCTCGATGGTCCCCCACCGGACAAAATTTTTGTTCGATGTTAAGATCCGAACAAAACTTTAAGTGTTTTCCCCTTAAATCCTGAAAATCGATCGGAGCGTATTGATTCCGGTACGTCTATATAAGATCTCAAGAATTTCACCGTGCACTTCCCACTTGTAGATTTCGTAACTTTCACCGACGGAAATTTTGAGAATCTATCTATAGCTACTAGGAGGTAGATTTTTTTCCTCTGTGATTTTCTATAGGCCCCGCGTAATCTAATTGTACTTCCTGTCCAGGCTGCGTAAGCCGTCGCAGTGGCTTCGACGAATTTTTTGGAATAAGGATTTTTAAATTCTTACCATATCTGGTGCAACTACGACACTTCCGCTAGAATCACTATGTCCTTGTTCATATGCGGCCACCACAGGTATTGTGACACTCCTAACATAGCCTCTTGGCCTGGATGTCCTCGGTGGATCCTTTTGAGAACGGCTTCTCTCAGCTGAACTGGAACCGCTAGGCGAATGTTCACCAATATGCAATCGTCTTGCACCGCCATCTGTGACCACAATGGATTCGTATATGGTGGTCCCATTAATTCGAAGCCCTGCTTATCTCCTCTCTCTATTACTCGTCTGAGGCGATCCATCCAGGTATCTTCGGTTGTTAATTCAGCTAATAAACTTTTATTAAAAAGTTTTGATAAATTGTCGAGGGCCTCCTCTTGTTGCTGCCTCTGCAGTTTCGGTTTACTGGACGACTTAGGTGGTTCAATGGCACATACCTCTTGTTCACTTTCAATGTCTTCTGTAGTCGTCAGATCCACCTCAATTACTTGCACCTCACTCAATCTCCTCTCCTCCGATGTAGCTGGTTTGATGCTGATTGGACCTTGACAAATTTCTGGGCTGTCTCTAGTTTCCTCTGTGTTTGCCCCTGAACTTTCCTCTCTGTTTGCTACTAGCTCCCTGTTAATGCTCCCCGGTATGTTATTCTCTCCCTCGATCAGCTGCCAGAACGAAATTAGACTTTGGTCTGCTTCTCTTTGTTGTTCTGGTTCGAGTTGCCATTTAACTCGTGATGAATGTCTTGTTTCACTGTCCGAGCTATCTCTATTTTTCCAGCCTCCACGAATTATCTTTCTCGTGCGTTGTAATGTTTCAGTGACTTCCTCCTCTTCAGAAAATTCGTTTGCATTTGACAGTGAACGATTCCATTTTGGGTCCACAATGCTCTCCTCTCTGTCGTCATTGCGCCAGTCCTGTGGTGTATCCGACCACCAGTCGTAAGATCTATTGAATTTTTCTGACATCTCGTTCCTCGAGTCTGATTTTTCTTTCTTCTTCTGAGTTTGGGAAACTGTTTTCTCGGTGTATTCCGATTTCTTTGGGTACGACTGTTTGCTGAGTTGAGTTGACGAAAAAGTGATCTGTTTATCTTGAACTGTTGTGTTTAGCTGTTTTGGCAGTCGTGAAAACTGTTTTCTCTCGTTCCGGTCGAGCCTTGTTCGTTTTTGACCGTTTTGGTTGTCATGGCAACCATTAATTGATGACTGTTTCGCTGCATTCCTTCTAGAACATTTTCGTTCCAGTTGAGCGACCCAATGCCTTCCAGCCTACTGTTCATGCAGTCTAAAGCTTTATGAAACGAATTTATTGACGCCACTACAAACTTTTCGTCTAATTCCGATTCTGGCCAAGGATCATTGAAAGGATCACGCGATAAGTAGTCAACTATACCCATGTCCCTCCCCGGAATGTGAACTATTTTAAACTGATATGGCAACAATCGATCGACCCACCGGGTCAAACGAGATTGATAGGTCTTATTAGACTTATTACCATCTAACGCTGATGTGAGCGCTTTGTGATCTGTTGCAATGGTAAATGGTTTTCCCAAAAGGTAATGTTTGTATCTGTCTACTGCCCAAACAACTGCCAGTAGCTCCAATTCATTAGATGAATAATTTTTTTCTTGCGAATTTAAATACCGGGATGCGAATGAGATTGGAACCCACAAACCTTCCTCTTTTTGTTGTTCCAATGTATCGCCCAAGCCATCATGGCTTGAATCACACTTAACGCTTGTTTCTCGGTTAGCGTCATAGTAATGTACTTTTGTAATATTTGCTACTGCCTCTTTTATAGCAATACCACAGTGTGTTCATTCCCCCCGCTCGAACTTTTTGACTGGTAATTTCATGTTTTTCAACTTTGTCTTTTGGTTTTCTTCTTTGAGAAGTGGCCTCAATTTCTCAATTAGACTTGCCGCGTGAGGTATAAATTTCGCTAAGTGATTTATACTGCCCAGAAATGACCTTAACTGTTTAAGCGATTTCGGTGGATTTAGACTTATAACTGCTTCGGTTTTGAGGAATTTTGGACTGACCCCTGATGCTGAGAGGTGATGTCCCAACCAATCCACCTGTCGTTTGAAAATTCACATTTTGATATTTTCAATGCCAGATTTTCATCATCCAGTTTTTTAAGTACCGATTCCACCAGTGTTCCATGTTCGATTTCATTTCCCTTCGACACAATAAGAATGTCATGCAGAAAACAGAATGTGTTCTAGCGTGATTGATAGTTCTATCCATGGCTTTTTGGAATTCAGCTGGCATGTCAGCTAATCCAAAACCCTGTAAGAAATCTATATGTCCCAGTAGCCTTTCCACCAACAATATTAAAGTTACACTGTTTAGCTGTATTTGCAGCCAATTTTAATTGACTGTACGCGTACTTCAAGTCTAACACCGTAAAGTAAAGTGTACCACTTTTGTTTTCAGTAACAATTTGACTTACTCCATCGATGAGTTCATCGACGTTAGGCATTTGGTACTTATTTTTGAACAGTTGTCTACTTATTGGTTTCGCGTCCATCGCCAATTTTATCGAATCGTCCTTTTTTACTGTTATCACAATCGGGGCAATAAAACAATCGCTCGTACATTTATCGAGCTTTGTGATGTGACCTTCTGTCAACAGTTTCTCAATTTCTTTTTCAACTTTATACTGTATGTGAATTGGAATTCTTCTCCCCTTTTCTTGAATTAGACATAGGGGTATTTAAATTTCGAACTTACAATGTGATTTTTTGAAATCCCTTGTCTATCAAATAAATTTCTGAATTTATTGAAAAATTTTTCTTTCCAACCTTCTGACTGCTCGCACATGAGCACGTCAAACCTGGTAAGTTCCTTCGGAGCTGGTTTTTGTGTAGTAACTATCCCCACTTGTCCTTGCAGATCTAAGCCCATTATGCATCTGGTTTTACGTTCTGTCACAAGAAATGTAGCACCTTTCACCTCCCAGCCTGCCGACCGAAGATTCGTCTTCAAAGCCCCCAATACACTGATCGGTTGCTTGTTGTAATCAACGAATTTTGTATGCAAATTCAATTTTTCCGACGGAATGAATCTTACTTTGCTTGATTTGTCCATTATTTCCTTTGCCGTCGCCCAATTTAGGAAAGAGACTGGACTTCCCGTGTCCACCGTCGATTGTATTATTTGATTATCAATTCGTACATGGCCTTTAGTGATTTTACTCGTTTCAGCGTTGGGTCTCAAATTGAATCGATTTTCTGGACTTTTATCGTCTCTCCATTCGATTTGTTCCTCATTTCACTGATTCGGTCCTTCACATATTTGAAGACTCTTTCGTTCTCCGACTGATATGTTTGTATCGACATTACTTCAAAATCGCTACATGACCCAAAGATTTCACTTATCTGATCGCATTCCACTACAGATCCCTCCGATTCTTCCGCAACCTCACTTACTTGCTGAGATCTACACATTTTGGCAAAATGATAGGGTTTATCACAATTCTTACAAGTTTTTCCCATCGCTGAACAGTTTTTCAAGTGTCCCTGATCGAATGTCCTTCCACGTCTGTTACATGATTTTGTTTTCATGTCGGAATTTTTTTTATTGTTTTGTCGTTTATTTGTTTCCTTCTGTTTTGATTCTTTGTTGTACCTGACGAATTCCTAACTGCCATTACAGGTTCTTGTTTTTATTCTCACTCCCGAATTGTAGTTGTTACTTGCTTCTCCTGTTGCCGCAGCATTCGTCTTTTGAAATGCCATTGTGGTTAATTTACTAGGTTCGAAATTTATCGCCCTTTTCAGAACTTCTTCAAGATCTAGAGTTTCAATTGTCAACGTGTCCTGCAATGTCCTGTTTTTCATTTTCGAAATGAATAGATCACGGACTATCTCACTTTCCAATGTTCCCAATTCAGATCGAGCTGCTTGCGCAGTTAGCGCTGCATGAAATGCCTCCAGAGATTCCCCGGATTCTTGCATTCGTGTAAACAGTTCATATCTTTCATATGTTACACATTTTACCTTTTGAAACGAAACTTCTGCAAGTTCTGTGATTTCCCTGAACGACATTTTGGATATTTCGACATGCGGATTCTTTTGTAGAAATCGTTTCTTTCCCTCTGTACCAAGTGACAGAAATAATCTGGACACCAGTTTCTTTTGCACTTCGTTGTAGAAAACGTTGTGGCCAACTCCTGGGCCTCTTGTCCTTCTCTCTTCATTTTCCAGCAAAACTCTATCCCTTGCTAACTTATCTCTAAGATTCCTAGCAATCGTCGCAGCTTCAGTCTCTCCCTCTTGTGGTGTTTCTGGTCGAGGAGGTGGCTCTTCTAATATGTCTTTTGGTTCTTCTAATATAATCTCTGGATTTACGTTTTCTTTGACAGTTACTGTCATTAGAAATTGTTCAAACCAAATTTTAAACTGCCACGGAGGGTCTAAATTCGCTGACGCCCAAAATACGGGTATTCCCATATCCGTCCGATTGTCCTGTGCTGCAAATCCTGCTGGCTGCGCCATGTGAAATCCTATGCGGTATCGTGTGAAAACTAATGGTAATTCAATAATGTATTCTGATGTATTGAATTAAGCTTTCTCTTTCTTTCTTTTGATTAGTTACTGAGAGATAAATCAGAATCGAAAAACTCTGAACTCTCAACCGAGTTTCAATGTCACATCACACAGTGACCTTGTTCACACCATAAAGTTAATAACTATACCACCGCAGGTTGGTAGTACATAAATCAATTACTGTTATTGCAGTAGCAGCATGACAAAGAAAAACTAAATTATGCGAGGTATATATATTGTCAAAACACAGCAAAGACATACCTTTTCGAAGCTGAACTTCTTAAGTGTTGCGTGGTTGTCACAGCAAAGCCTATGGAGTGATGCGAACTTCTCGGCCAGGTCGCATTGTGCTTTTGAGTCGGCCGGTGAGGATTGGTTTGGACCCTGGGGACTGGTGCTGACTCCCTCCAGGAAACCCTCCATGCGCTCCTGGTTCTGTCTTAAGTAGTTGTTGAGGGAGTGGACATCGAAGCCAGCGTGATCTTTGAGCTGTGTGAAGTTGGCCCAGCTCTGCAGGAGTTTGGCCAGCAACTTCAGCATCTCCTGAGCAGCGGCTATGTTGGGGGGTGAGCCTGCAAACGAATTAACGCCAATCAAATAACGTAGCCAAGATATTTTTTGACGATTGGAACCTAGATTTATAGATTCAAAGCAAACATTCCAGATCCAATTGATCTATTTGTATTTTTCAGTCAAGCAGTTTTGAGTGTTAGAGCATGCTTGAAAAATGTTTTAAAAAATTTGTTTACATGCTTTTTTAAACGAAACTTTTCCAATTATTGTTTGCCAATTATTCTTTGCCAAAATTGTGAACAATTATCCTAGTTTTAGAACATTCGCGTGTTCTAGATAGCGCAAAAACGTGCATTATAAATTTGGCATCAAATTATTTACAGTACATTATAATTTCAATTGAAGCTAGCAACTTTGCCTAGGATTAGGCACAATCAATCGGCCCTCACGACGCTGACATTTACTGGTAATAAAAAGAACGTTTCAATAAACAAAAACAGATGGTAAAATGAACGAAACTTTTAATTTTTTCAATTGACAAAAAAATGTGGCTTTTTTAAGGCTTCACTCGTCTTTTTTGTTGCAAATAGGAAAAGAGCCACAATGTACAATAACTTTGTTCACTTTAGTTAGTAGCTTAAGTTTCATAGCATTACGCAACGTTTAAATTGAAACTGAAATTCAAACTGGGGGGGGGGGGGTTGCAAAAGAGTCACACGAAAAGCTTCCACAAAAATTTCAAACGCCGCAAAACAACTGAGTGGAAACGCTATTTATCAAGCTTCGAACAAATTTGAAAACTCCATTCTGGACCACATTAAACTATGACTGATTAAGGCTGAGCATTTTAACCTTTTGTGATTGCAAGCTGCCCATGAAATTAGCACGAGCTTCCGAAGATTTCATAGAAAGGAAATTTTGTTTTGAAATTGATTTTGGTAACCAAGCAAGTTCATTATTTAGCGATGAAACGCTCATGCACATAAAACTCAGTAATAAAAAATCTACGAAAGCATTTCTGCTTGTTTCCTCGGCGATAGGAAACTCCGGTCCTATTATGAGTAACATTTATAATGCCACATCCGCAACCGTTGAACTAGAGGACAAAAATACACACTCGAAAGATGATATGCTGCCAACAGCCATGTCCAATTTAGAACTTAAAATTGACAACCTAGACGACGCTAGTATGTTCACACAGCCAGACCAAACGGACCCGAATCCAGTACCTCTGGGTTCTCAATCAGAGAGGGGGTTCTTGCCTCATCGGAACCACCATCGCGCCTCCTACCCTTCTTTATTTCTCAGCGAGGGAATACCTCAAAGACGCTACAGTCTTATCCATTTTGGACCTGGGGGAGGAGATATGGATAATTTGGACACCTTGCTTCCCCCGGATGAAGACGTGGATCCGACTCAAGACTGGGAAGACGACGATGAGGGTGAAGAGGGCGGGAAAGACTTCTCGGAGCTCGAGCTCTCACTCCAGACTCAGATGACGATCAATGCATTGATGAATGGCGGCACGAACACAGTTGCAACTGACACTACCACGAAGACAGAAACCGAGTTGGAGTTGGGAAAAGGCGAGGAAACGAATCTTCAGACAGGAGATACGGAGAGTTCCTAGCCCTAGAACTAGCCTTGTGAAAAAAAAACTCAGATCCGATTGTTAATATTCTTGTTACAATTCAATTTTGCGTAAAAATCTGTTCGTCCAAACGGATGTTTGAAGCTAGAGAAAATAGGCAGCGAATTCCACGGTTTTTTGGTTCTTTTATTTGAATTTTCTAAAAAAAAAATTGGACTCTTCGACCCCCCCCCCCCCCCCCCGCGAAATTTCGAAGTTTACAAGTTAAACTTTTGTTCGAATTATCCAATTTTTGTGAAAATTGCAATGCCGACTAATTAAGCGCCAAGAAAAACATATTTCGTATTTGGTCTTCACAATCATGCACAATCACTCTGGCTCTTTATCCTTGTCCCCCAACCTCACATAAGGATCAATTTTATGGTGTAACGATTAGTTTTACAAGATTATGTAAGAAGACCAAATATGTTTGTTGTGGCATAATTAGTCTGCATGCCAACTTTTGTAACAATCCGACAATGTGAACAGAAAAATTAATCATAAAAATAAGCAGCTGGGGGTGAAAAGGAAAAACAGCCCCATTCCTTGCACCATAAAATTGATGCAATTTTGAAAAGCTTATTTAACGTTGTCATAATGCAATGAAACTTGGCATGATGAACAAACTGACGGCTCTTTTTCCTTCCCCCCCCCCACCTGCAAATTTTTACATGTAAATTTGTTGACTACATTGTCCGATTGCTATGCAAATTTACATACAGACTAATAAGGCCACGACAAACATATTTGGTCTTCATACTCAACCTCGTAAAACCACTCGTTACACTAATATATTAAAGCTGGGGGGGGGGGGGGGGGGGGGGGGGGAGGAAAAAGAGCCAAACTGACAACTGAAACCAAATCTGTTCTTCACAATTCACATCGAATCATCTCGCATTTAGCCGTAAAAACACAAAAAGCAAACACAAAAATCGATATTTTGAAAAGTGGGGAGGGGGGAGTGGAGAAGAGCTTTAAATTGTTCACCATGCAGAAATTCATTACGTTAAGACAACGTAAAAATAGTTTTTCAAAACTGAAATTTAAATGTGTGTGCGTGCGTGTGTGTGCTGGTGAGTGTGGAAGACCCGAATAAAATCAAAATTTAGCAACGCAAAAACTTTTCACCCCCCCCCCCCCCATTGATCAAAACTTCCATTTTTTAATTTCTCATGCGTCTTTTTGATGACTAAACGCGTTATTTTAGGATTGAAAACTGAAAAACAAATCTATTCACAAAAAAAGTCTCTACCAATGGGACTTTAAAAATAGCATTCAAAAGAAAGCTGAAACTATAAAAAAAAAGTCGGGCTACGGAAACTTAGCCGACAAAAATAAACCGCCCAACGATAGTCCGAAGCAGAAAACTTCAGGTTCGCAAAAACACAGTTCCAGGCCGGACTTGAAACACAAACGTTTGTCATCTTATTTGGGTGTTTTACCTCTACGCCATTTTCGCTGGATATTTTCACTAGATGATTGATTTAATTTAAATATATTATGAAGCAAGTTGAAACACGATTAACACTTTAATGTGCGGAATCTAGTGAACATAATGTTAGAATCGTAAGGGTTAAAGCATAGCCGAACGATTGCAGGAAGTATCAACGAAGGCAAGAAAACAGAAAAAATACTGACTTGTTTTTCGAAAAAACTTCAACTTCCAAATTTCCAAATAAAAAATATGCTTTCAAATTACAAGAACAATTTCTGATGCACACTATGAGTCTTATTTTGAACAAACTGTAGGTAATTTTTCTATTTCTCCGCCAAATCTGAAAAGTAAAACCCACTTTTAAAACTAGAAGTAGTTCACGTTTTCTTCGCGCTATTTTCACTTTCGTAGTTGGAGAGTGAAATTTGCCTTTTCTAGCAATTGAATTGAGCTTTGAACAGAGTTGAACTGCATTTCGTAAACACAACCAGGATGGGAGAATCAAAATTTGTATTAAAAATGTCGAAAACTAAGAAGTTTACCACAACGAGATTAAAACTAATTGCAACATCTGGATATAACTATCTCAATTACTAGCCAACAACAAACAGGATTTTAAAGAAAATATATATCACCTTTTCAAGAACTTTTTGTGCATTTTCCGACTACTTTTGAAAAAGCGTCTTTTTTCGACTCACGCATTCATTGATTATTTTTTCGCAAACACAAGCAATAAAAAACATAGCCAACTGACAGTTGGAAAAGAGTAATGAACGCAAGGAAACTGAAAAAACTAAAAAAAAAACTGAGTTTCCTTTTCAAAAATCTTCAACTTTTGAATTTTGAAGAGAAAATAGATGGCCCTAAAGCTCTTTGAACTTGTAGAACAATTTATGATGGCCAAATTTATTTTTTTAAAATTAACCCAATTTGAGAAAACTGGATCAAAAGTTAAAATTTTTAGTTCACTCGGAAATGTGATAATCAATTTTCATTTTCGAAATTAGAAGTCGATCACGTTTTTCGTGAACTTTACAACTTTGCTGTTCGATAATGGAATTTGTCTTCCTTTTCACAATGAAAATGAATTGAACTGAAATGAAAAGAAATCACAAATCGAACTGCGAAAAATCAAAATTGAGCGTGAACAAATTCAAGACTTTTTCTTATAAAAAAAACAAAAAAATCAGCAAGACCTATATAATCAAGATAGTACTCACTACATTCATTACTCTTAAAAACGACAAAATCAGCTCCGAAAAATAAAAAGGAAAAACCCTTTGCGAACACAAGGGCAGAAATAAGACTCGAATTAGTGCTATGTACCGACTTCGAAAATACGAGGGGAAGCTGCGATTCGCAAACACAAGCGAGAAAACGAGAAAAGAGCAGTTCGAAAAAATAGATGAAAGAAAAGACTTAATATAACTATTGTTTTCTGCTGGATTCGAACCAGCGATCTCGAGATTCTCACGTCCTTCCCACATAGCAGCGGACACCTGACCAATGGCAAGCACTAGCAAAAAGTAGAATTATACTAATTCACTATGCCCACTAGCCATCAATAAAGCAGAGAACAGATGCTATTAAATTTCCAATGCAGCAATAGTAATTGCAGCTGAAAGGCCACCAAATTAGCATTTTCATTTGCTACATTGGTTGAAAAAAGCAGAATCATACAATTACACTACGCTTACTAGCACAACACAGAGGTGAAGGAGAAACTTCGCAAACACGAGCGAGAAAGCTACACAGATTTGGATGCACAAACGCTATACAATGCACTGAAAACTAACTTTGCATGTAATAATTTGGAATGTAATTAACTCGAGGCCACTTTGCATGTAATAAATTAGAATATATTAAATCAAATTTCGTATAAATATGCATTTCAAAAATCTCAAAATATACCGAGTTAGACAATTTCTGAAAGAGAATTTAAACACAGGCGAAGCTGCGCTTCGCAAACACTAGCAAAAATCAGCTATATCAAGTGAAAAAAAAGAAAAAGTAGAAATAAGACTCAAATTAGCAAAATTTCGGCTACATGTAGGATTCGAACCTGCGACCAACTGCAATCAAGAAATTTTGAGTCTCACACACTAACCCCTCAGCCACGCAAGCTCAACAATCGACAAACGCTAGTCACGAATGAAGCAGCTATATATTCTAATTAATTGCCAATGCATTTCAGCAAAAGTGCCACCAGATACAAATAGACTCAACGTTGCTCAAGTGATAGACACAAGTAATAATTTAGAATATAAAAAACTAAGACATCCACATTAAGCTTACACGTAACAAATCGCACAGCATAGATCCACATTATGTATAAATTATGTATTTCAAAAAATTGCGATATATATATTGAGTGAGAAAATGCCTGAAATCGAGTTTTCATTATGGTAAGTTGTTTGAAACAAATCACATTTTTCGGTTCATTTGATAAATTAAAAATACATCAACTGAGTTAACTTATTACTATTCGAATGTCAAAGCACATATATTGGCACCAATATTTGCAACTTAGGTTGGAAAAAAGAAGGTTCGTACTAATACACTAGCTTCGCAGTGTAAATAAATGTTCGCTGAGACATCTGAAAACTAAATACCACTTTCGAAACTAAAAGTCGATCACGTTTTTCGTGACCTTTACATTTTTGCTCTTCGATAAGGGAGTTTGCCTTCCTTTTAACAAAGGAAATCAACTGAATTCGAAAAGAAACCAAAAGTAAAACCGCTAAAAGGGAAATTTGAGACTAAACAAACTTTAATACTTTTCCTGTAAAAAAAGACAAAAAATCATCACGACATATATAAGAGTCTGAACTACGTTCATCGACTCTTAAAAAGTAGAGATAAGCCTCGAATTAAAAACATCTACTACGTCCCGGATTCGATCTGCGACCTAGAGATTATGAGTTACACCCACTAACCACTCAGTCACGGACGCTTACTAAATGACAAACACTACCACAATAAAACGCTATGAAATGTCCAATGCTACAGATCGTGATTATAGCAAAAAAAGCCATCAAAAAGGTGAACACCTTTATTTGCGAGGTAGGTTGGAAAAAAATGAGGTTCGTGCTAATACACTACGCTAACAAGGTGGCTAGTGAAATTATTATACTGTCCAGCTTTTCCCAGTTTATTAATGATTTAAAAAAGCAACTGATTACCTAGCAAATGTCAAAGCTTATTGTATTATGCTTCTAATGTAGCCAAATGATTCAAAATTTATTCATTCACTTTTATTTGCGAATTAGGTTGGAAAAAAATTGCATTGTACTATCACACTATGCTACCCACGTATAATTAGCGAAAATCTAGTTTGTGACTTTTGATGTTCTCAACTACAAAAAAAAGTGTCAGAATGAGTCAAAGAAAACTGAATCAATAAATGTTTTCATTACTTTGCCGGAAATCCTGCAAATTAGGTTCCCCGGTTAAAACTTAATTAAAACGCCATTTTCTGCCTCATTTCTTTTTATTGGAGAGCATACCTTCATGTAGGCAAATTTTTTGAACGTTAGCTTCAAAATCAGTAAAGACGTTATGTTACGTTCGCATAAAAAATAATTAGCACAGCAGTTTCAACCTTTTGCCGAAAACAAAAACTGCACAAAGAGGTGATCCAACAATTGGTTGAATCTGGAATAACTTATGAATATGAAGTTCCAACTGACCGATGATGAGATTATATTTGCGAGGTGTGCAGAGTGCCAGTGATATACAGCGAAGAAAGAAAAACGAGGCAATCATTCTGTATCTGAGCATCTGGTTCTTAGCAGCTCCCTCTGACCCTGCTCCTCCCCTGTTCCACTCGACACCTGGATGGGAAGCTGAGAGTTGCTCGCCGTTCATAGGCCGAACGGGCCATTTCTGCTCCACTTCACGTTTGATTTGTTGCAGGATGTAGCGAAGATTACTGAAACAAATTTAGGTCTTAAATTATTTTCACCATAAAATTTCTCTAATTATACTGAAAAAAAAAAACGTGATGAAAAAGCCAGAAAGATTCGTAGCAAATATGATGAAACTGTGCTCCTCTTGCAAAAAAAATCGATTGAATAAATAAGGAAACAGCATAGATTCTAACACCTTATTGTCAAACTGATTTTCGATTGACGTCACGTTAAACAACAGCCCGCAGGTAACTTACGTGGGAACCATGTCAACCTGGCCTAGAATATTATCAGCCAGATGTTGCAGGTATCTCTTCGCAGCTCTACTCCATCTCTCTGGATCCTGGTTGTTATTCGGAGATGCAATTGGGACCCCAGCCGTCACATCTGGGTCAAATACTATGAGGTCTATGATGGGTTGTAGGGCTTGCTGGACGAAGGGTTGCATCACTTTGCTCAAGTAGTGTTCCATGACCGAGACTGCTAGACTTGTGGAGCGAAAGAGTGTCTGCTCGTCCTCTTTTGCGATTTCGATTGCGTTCAGTTTGACGATGAAGTCAGTTTCTGACCTCAGGTGCAGATATGTTTTGAGTAGTGACAGGGCGTAGAAGTTGCGCTCTCGCACTGGCAGACAGTATCCCAGTTGGTACAACAGATCGGGGCCTTCCTGTGATAGCAGACACTGAAACAACTCTTCTGTGGTACACGACATCGACAAAAACAACCGATTGAAATGATTCTGACAAAATTTTCACAGAAAACAAAACTTCCTACAGCTGAGAAATTAAACATAAATACTTCAAACTGTATTTTTGTATTTAAATATAGTAATCAGATATTGGTCCAATCAGGGGCAAGTATTACAAAAACTTGATCCAATTTACCGACGTTTTCCAAACGCCTCACCAAACACTAAATTAATTTAAATGTTTGCTACCGATTTCCCTATAGAATTAGACAATTGTTACTGTTAATTGTGAAACTGTAAATTGACCAGGTAAAAAGAAATTAAACTGGAAATTTAAATTAATTAGAAAAAAATGCGTATCTTCATGCTGCATGAATATTTGTTGATTTTTCAGCTGCCATTCATTTACATCTTTAGCTAATTATTGCCGTTATATTGTTGTTTTTAGGCCCGATTATCGCCGTTAGTCAGTTTCATCTCACAGCAGCAGCAGGTGGTAGCTCAAGCAAGCAAAAAGGGACACGAACTTACTGTCTGCAGTTTGGCATACATCTGTTCTGGGAGGATGGTGAAGTGTTTGAGGAACACCTCACACCTCACTGTGCCAAGGTGGGAGGGAGGGAGGGTGGAGCTGCTACTGTAGCCACACGGGTTGCCCAGGGGCATGTTCTTCATCACCGGGCACAGACCGTACTTGGCACAGTGCAGCACATTCTTCGGCAGGAGTTGCAGGTTGATCACGCCGAACCCTACACATATTAACAAAACAATGTTAGCTTGACAAGCTTATTCAATACCTCTTAAAAGGAATCAAACATGACTTTCATCTTCAATCTGCGCCAAGGGAGCAAAAAATGTTGATAACAAGAATCATCTTACAATGCTATCATTTTCTGATCGTTTTCGTGAAGCCCAAAGAAACAGCTTTATTTGCTTATGCTCTTAAGAACAAACCGAACATCAATAAGCTCATTTAGCAAAATGAATTATCAAAATTATTTTCAAACAATCATTAAACTATGCTGTCTAAATAATATTAACAGGAAATGGTATCATTTATGATGCATCGAAATCATGAAATTTGTATTGAAATAAAGATTCCAGTGCCAGATCAGTTATGATACTTTGAGGTTTTGACAAACTGAAAAACCCTATCAAAAGCCATACCATCTCGATCAATAACTTGAAACTTTCCTGAAACATGTTCATCTTGCAAATCAATTTGTTCGCAGCAAGACCATTACTTATCCACATATTTAATACTTATTAATCTTAAATGAAACGAAGTATTCGATATTTTCCATACCTAAATCTTGATTTCCTTTCTTTGACTTTGAAGACATTAACACCATTCGTATCGTTTTCAGCTCCGATGGCAACTTTCTGAAACAACAAACTCAGTTTTCGAATGGTTACAAAAGACCGTAACTCACACTTCGCAAACACCAGCAAAAATGACAGAAGGGAGCTTTCAATTGCAAGATAAAGCAAACATAAAAATAATTGAGAAAAAAACCAATTTGAGATAAGTCAGCCAATTTGATTTTTCTGAGCTCTGCGAAACCCTACCCTAGCAGAAACAAACTTCATGCATTTTTTGGTGACTATCATTTTTTTGTGGAAAGTGTGCCTGCGTTTAAACCTCAAAATTAATCTAAATTGGCACCAAAGGCGCATTCCGAAAACAGCCAAATGACAACAAAAAAGAATCATTGAAGTTAGAAAATTATTAAAAAACTTTCAAAAAAAAAATAAAACTTTCGAGTTTCAAAGAAAAAACCCAAACTCAAATAAAGGAGCAAACAAAGCATGTTAATTTTACCATAATTTATTCATTTCATTTACCCGCAATTTATAGTAACTAAACCAACATCAATTCAAATTTCATACGATACAGTCGCTTTCCCGCTATCGCGAAGTATTCATTCTGGTCCGCCTCATAACGCAAGGAAACTAAGCACACTGGCTGAGCCTATTCTCAAGTCAGCGACCTTTGTGCTAACCTCAATTGTAACCAAGACGAGTTGAGCGATGAAACAATCGAGCTTGAGCATTGCTTGGCTCAATCCTCAACTGCTGATCACGAGCTGCTTGACGCCACCACCGAGGATGCGGAATACGATCAAGTACTCGATCAATGGCAATGTCAGACAACACCGAAGGCTGCTCGCCAAAACTCTACAAGCCGCAAAGAGAATGATAGCCGCATCAAGTCAGCCTATCAACCCTGTTTCAACTATGCAGATTGAACCAACAAGGATCACAATAAGATTGCCGCAGATCAATCTACCTAGTTTCAGAGGCGATTTCACTGCCTGGCTAAGCTGCATTGATCAATTTCAAAAAGAGCAGAGATACAAAAATGATCGAGACATACTTCGAAAGCTTTTGTCACGAATTCACGCCAGTTCGAACGGAGAATGTGTCTCAGCTTCGTCAGCTACACTCAGTCTTCAATGAGACTTCGCAGCACAACATGGCACTCGGAAGATCAGTCGAAACCAATTTGTGCCATTTCCTTCTCTTCGAGAATCTCGATCCTGATTATCAGAAGGCATGGGAAACTGCAAACGATGGGAATGAAGCTCTTGATCGACTCATGGTGTTCTTAGACAACAGAGTCAGGTCTCTAGAGGTGGTTGAAGGATCTCAATTCAGACCCCCATAAGCCAGATCGTGAGCAGCAGATGTTCTTGACAGATTAGAACCGATCTCATAAGAATGGCTTCTCTTTACCACAGTGTAAAGTTCAAACAAGCCAAGAGCGACATCCAATATGGCAGTGTGAGAAATACAGATCGATGACAACATCAGAAAGAAAAAACTTCGTGATCAGCGATATGATGCGCTTCAATTGTTCGTCTGCCAGCCTGCTATTTGGGAAGCCTTCACGTGGCGGCAGGTGTGGATCCTTGCAGAAGGATCTCAAATTTCCCATACCAAAGAGTGTTTGGCCAAAACACATGGAAACCAGTGCGGGTTTTTGCTGAAGCACCATAGTGACCCCGATCTATGGTGGCTTCTAATTCTGGCAGGGGATATCGAGCTGAATCCGGGGCCGGTGAAATGGCCTTGTGGATACTGTGGTGAGGCGGTTAGTAGCAGAGTCTGGTCTATCTACTGTGTTGATTGCAAGAATTGGATACATCAGCGCTGCGCAGGGATGTCGACCCAAGAGATCAGGGCACATCAGAATTTCAGGTGGCATTGTGGGTGTGTTACAGTTCCCACTGTCCCTGTTGCTCCAGTTGCAGTTCTGCAGCCAGCCACCCAAACTCGGAGACCAAGAGTGACGACTCCAGTGCCCAGATGTTTGAAGATTTTGCAGCTGAACATCGATGGTTGGAGAGGTAAGGTCACTAGTCTCAACGAGTTTCTCGACGAGAAGAAAATTGATGTTGCGTTGTTGCAAGAGACGAAGCTGATGAGTTCTACTGCTGACCCTAGTGCTAATGGGTGGAAAGTCCATAGAGCAGAACGCACGGTTCATCTGGTGCAGAATGAGCAACCTCAAGGAGGTTTGGCGGTGCTCGTCAGACCTGGAGTCCAGTCACGCAGGTTAGAAAGTTTGAATCTTCCGACAGGAGCTGCTTTGGAGTCGTTGGGAGTTTCAGTGGAGACCAAGCATGGCTGGATGAATCTCTGGAATATGTACCGTCCTCCTGCTACTGGTGGTGCAGACGTGAGAGATGCTGCGTTGTATTTGAACCATTGGCCTAGAGAGAAGAGTTCTGTTATCTGTGCGGATGTTAATGCGCATGGTTCATGGGATGCGAACAGAGATTCCGATCAGTTGGGAGAAGAAATTGACGACTGGTTGATTGACAACAGTATGGCGCATGTGAATAGTGGCATTCCTACACGTGTTCGGCAGCTGGGTCACGCGATGGTGGAAACAGCACCCGACATCACCATTGTGCACAGTTCTGTGGCGAGTAGTTGTTCTTGGGATGTGCTGGAGACCATTGGTTCCGATCATTTGCCAATTCAATTGGTCATTGGCTCTTCAGGGATGAAAGAAGAAGAGACAAAACGCAAGTATAACTTCAACAAAACAGACTGGGAGAAGTACAGCAGTGTGTGTGACAGGAGTTTGTCAGAGTGGAATGAAGATATGTCACTGGAGAAGAATTACAAGGTCCTGATCGAGACGATGCAGAAGGCAGCTAAGGAGTCAACTCCCTTCACTAAGGTTGGTGGCAACAGAAAGCCTTGGTGGTCTAGTCTCTGTGAGAGCGCGAAGAGGTCTATGAAGGATGCTTTCAGTCTCTTGAGGAGGAGCCCTTGCGAAGAAAATGTGGAAAGGTACAAGAACGCGAAGAAGATGTTTGCTGATACCATCAGAGAAGAAAAACGACGTAGTTGGCGGGAGTTTGTTGACACGTTGTCTCCGGCGACTCCTAGTACCAAGGTCTGGCGCACGCTTCAAAGTATGGATGGCAGGAAGAAACTGGGATTGCCAGACAATCCAGTGTGTGCCGGGGACAAGACTGCTGTCACTGACAAGTCGAAAGCGGAACTTGCAGTGAAAACGTATGCCGCAGCCAGCAAGGTCCAGATCACTAGAGAGGACTCCAAGGAAGCTTACCTAGCGACTAGAGAAAGTCTGAAAGAAACTTCGGAAGGTGAGCTGGGTGACAGTTTCACCGAAGACGAGTTGGCAAGAGCTTTACAGAAGATGAAGAATGGAGCTGCCGGCCCAGATGGAGTTGTTCCCCAGATGATCAAGCACTTGCCAGAGAATTGCATCTTGTTTCTGCTTTGTGTCTTCAATGAGAGCTTACGTCTAGGAAAAGTTCTAGATTGCTGGAAACGTGCAGTCATTGTGCCAATTTTGAAGAATGGTAAACCGCCTTCTCAGATAAAGAGTTATAGGCCCGTTTCTCTGTTGCCGTGTATTGCCAAAGTTCTGGAGTCTATGATGGAATCCCGCGTTCGTCATTGGGCCGAGAGTACTCACATGATTCCAGATTGTCAGTCAGGATTTCGTGCCAAACGATCCACAACAGATGTTCTTGCTAATCTCAGCCAAAAGGCATTCGACAACTTACAGATGAAGAAGCGAACAGTGATCACGGCAGTTGACTTCAAAGGAGCGTTTGATAGGGTGTGGCGTGGTGGTCTTCTTAGAGACTTAGCGAAAGCTGGCCTTCATCCTACTTGCCTGCGGTGGATCAAGTCGTTTCTTAGCGACAGAAGAGCGTGTGTCAGATGGAACAGTTCTCTTTCCAAGTATAAGGTGTTTCAGCAGGGAGTTCCACAAGGCTCACCTCTGTCCCCTTTGCTTTTTTGTCTTGCTACGGCTAGTTTGCCTACAAGGATTGCTCAAAATGCTCCAGACACGAAAAGTGCCCAATTTGCGGATGATTATTCGCTTTATAATGAGGATGTTTCTCCTGATTCAGCAGCAGCTAGAATGCAACCAGCTCTGGATAGCGTCAGTTCTTGGGCGAGTGATCATTATATGCTCATTGAACCGTCGAAGACTGAGGGGTTAGTGATCAGCCTGGACCCGAGAGAGACGGCAGGCAAAGCACAGCCAGCTCTTCTTCTGGAGAACACACAAGTTCCTTTCAACAAGCATATCAAGATTCTGGGTGTCAACATTGATACACAGTTGACGTTTTCCGAACACACAAACATCATGGTGAAGAAGATGAGGAAAAGGACACAACTGCTTTCTAGTTTGTCAGGGAAGAACTGGGGTCTGACATCCACTGACCTTAGAAGATTGTATAATGCCTATGTCAAGCCAGGAGCACTTTACGCCAGTGAAGTTTGGGGTTCTTTTCTCTCGGACTCGAATTGGAATAAACTGGAGGCATGCATCAACAGAGCAGCAAGAATTATTTGTGGCACGCCAGCAAGTTCCAATGCCGTCGCTACTCGCGCTGAGGCAAGGCTTTCTTCGTTGAAGCAGTACAGTGACGAAAAGGCAGCGATTTTGTACAGTAAGTTCCTCCGGTTCCCGATAGATCATCACCTGCATCTTTTGACAGATGACGGCCCGCCTCAGAGACTGAAAGCGAGAGGGGATAGCAGATTTCGTCCGGACTGGAGAGTTACCGCTAGAAAGATGATCCAATATAAACCAGAAAATCTCAGTACGAAAGAGTTTATTCTGACGAATAGAGAAGAAGTGACACTAGAAGATTACCGGCAAAAAGTGGACGAAGATCACTTACACAGACGAATTTGTAATGGCATGGCTTTGGAGCATTCAACTAATCGTTCAAGAGAAGAGGAAGTTTTGTTGCATAGGCTCCGGGTGAATCGATGTAGTAACCTAGCTAAAACTGAGCATCTCTTTGGTCGTATTGAATCTCCGCAGTGCCGTCAGTGTGACAGTGAAGAAGTTGAAGACACAGAGCATTTCATCCTGA